TTAAAATAATCCATAGAATTTTGAAATCGGAATTAAAATAGTCCTGCCAGGGATCATTAAATAGTCATGAGATAATTTTTACCCCATGCAAATTGTTGGGGGACCATTTTGGCCTTTTCTATTTATAAAAATATAAGTTATGTTAACCCATGCGCATGGCATTATCACGAATCTGCTGATTCAACAATCACGTTGATTTGTTAAGACATGAACTGCAGAAAAGCAACTGATGACCAATTGTGATTAACTGTTGACCGACATGCAGAAAAGCAACTGATGACCAATTGTGATTAACTATAATTTCTTTGCATTATAAATTTTCTTTTGACAACATTAGAATGCAGTCATCTATTGGTACGCATGTTACGCATGTGGTGTTGAACCACATTTTGTAAGTGCCAAAGGGATACGAGACACATTTTATGTCGGTTTTATCGAACTGGAGTACGCATGTGGTGTTGAAACGAGACACATTTTATGTCGGTTTTATCGAACTGGATTTACCTTTGCTCATTTACTTGGGCACTTATTTTTTTCCCTTAACTTTTCAGGGACATCTGCTGGAGTAGGCTTTGCAATTCCATCATCAACTGTTCTTAAGATTGTACCTCAGTTGATCAAATTTGGAAAAGTATGTTCTGTTCCTCTCAAGCATATTCTGATTGTTTAAGCTTAGCTGGTTAGGATTAATGTAGATTCCTAATTATCGTTAATTCTTATCAAACTAGATGCTAAACAATATAACTTGCTTTTTCAGCATGAACAAGTTACATTTCAATTAGTTCATGTAACAAGTCTCTGATGACGTTCTGTTTGCGCATACATCTTCCAATTTTTTCTTGTTGACATTCCATTATGAGATTTTTTGGTTTTCTGTTGCTGAAGTCATGAATAAGTTCTAGTTAGGTTTAATATTTAAGTTGAGTTTGATCACAATTGATGCAAAAAAGTTATGAAGTTTGTTGATATGCATATAACCGTGGGCCATATGGGTTCACTGAGAAAACCGTGGGTCCGGCCCTACATTTGAGAGGGAGAAATTATTCTTCCTTAATTTTCCATTAATGTGTTTTTTTTTATTTCCTAATTATCATGATGATTTGAATTTCTCTCTAATTGTACGAGGGTTAGTCTGAATTGTATATATATTTGTTATTTACTTGTATTAGTTGAATGAGAAAATTAGAGAGTTTTTCCTCTAAAAAAGTTCCTCCGAAATTTCACATGGCATCGGAGCTTGGAAACAAATCTTAGCTCTCCTTCCTCCTTTCGGATTCTCTCCTTGCTATCTCCTCCCTGCTGATGGTCCTTCCCTGCAGGCATTACTCCACTAAATCTAGGTGTTCGTCCCTGTGGACGCTACTCCCGCTTCCCAACCACCGATCTCTTCTTCGGCGAGAATCTTGAGAATTTTCTCTCTAATGGAAATCCTATGTCGACGATAGACGGTTTGTCTCTCCGGTAGAAAGAAGAAATTTCATTTCCCCCAACTGTTTCTCCCTAGCGAGCCTCCTTCCTGTCGGAATCATATAATGACCAAATACGGCATGAAAGCTACATATTCCTCTCTATAAGTTACTTCTGAACCTAAACCTAATATATAATTGATTCTGTAGCATCTGAAATATCCTCCCGCATCACCAATCACAAAGAACATGACAATAATTTCCTCTACTGGTCTCAATCTGTGTTCATGCACATCTATGATAAATGAAAAGATGATTATTTTACCAAGGGAAATCCTACACCAGAAATTACAAATCCTATACATTGAACTTGGAAGATTGAAGATCACATGGTTATGTCATGTCACGTCAACCACAAGGGGAAGCTATTCAAGTGTTGACAACACCTTTGAGTTAGTTTGGCACTAAAATTAGATTACATGACTTGGGACGAAGTGAGCTGAATGTCACTTAATAGTTGAACACTTTATCCATATATTGGCTCCATATTGATATGTATGAAACACACATATGGAGGTACTCATAGGACTCTGTTCTTTACAAAACCATTGTTGAAGAAAAGAGAACCTTCACCTTCCATCTAGGACTCAACGAGGAACTGGATGTAGTCAGAGAAAGAATCATGAGAATCAAACCTCTTTCCTCAATTCATGAATCCTTTGCTGAAGTACGAAAGGAAGAGAGTAGGAATAAACTCTTGATGGCAAATAATCCTGTTATATCAAATGTTGACAACTCAGCTTTATACACTCATATATCATCACAAGATAACAAATCTAAGAGGAACAAACTGTGGTGTGAATATTATCATCACAGGATAACAAATCTAAGAGGAACAAACTGTGGTGTGAACATTGCAAAAATACTTGGTCATCTGAAGTAGAAATGTTCAAAAATTTATGGAAAACTTGCATATTGGAAACCCAACAAAATCAAAGGTGATGGAAAAAATCTAGCAAATACAATATTAAATGAAGACAAGGCTCATGAACATGCTCTATTCAATAAGGATAACTTGAAGCTCTCCAAAGGCTTCTAGGACTATATTATGAGCCTTCCACCAATGTTCTAGCACATCAAGATAATCTTCCTTCTGCTCTTGTTGCTCTCAATAAGAAGAATCAATCTTAGATAATGGACTTTGGAGCATTTGATTACATAAAAGGTGATATCACTGCTTTTCAATCCTTCCATTCTTGCAAACATCATGTAGCAGTTAGAATTACATATAACTCCCACATCTGTGGAAGGAAGAGGAAGTGTGAAATTCACAATTGATCTTATACTTTAATCCATACTTTATGTTCCTAAACTTAACTGTAATTTACTGTCTATCAGTAAACTTATTCGTGCTATGAATTTTGTTACTAAATTCTATCATAATTTGTGTGAATTTCAATTTGACTCGAGAAGAGTGATTGTCAGTGTTGAAAAGTATTAGTTGATGGACTCGAGAAGAGTGATTGTCAGTGTTGAAAAGTATCAAAAATTTTATCTGCTTATTAGGACTCCCACTTCAAAAGGACCGTCCCACCATTCATAATCCTTTGAGTCAAGTCTTGTATTTGAGTTTGTTTGTCATAAGTCAAGTTATATTATGACATTTTCACCTCGGGCATCCTAATTTTTATTGTATTAAAAAATCATATCACAACTTGTTTATCAACAAAAAGCCTAGTTATTATCAGTGCAAAACTTGTCGACTTGCTAAACATACTTGACAAGTGTACTCATGCTTAGAATACAAACCAACTCATCCCTTCTTTATGGTTCATAGCGAAATCAAGGAGCCCTCAATAATAAAAAATATAAGTGGAGGTAGGTGGTTTGTCATCTTCATTTATGATTACACTAACATATTTGAAACCTTTCAAAACATGATCCTCCCTAAATATCAGAGCAGAATTTAAATTCTCAAATTGATAATGCAAAAGACTACTGCAACTCCATTCTCGGCCCTTATTTATTCAAAAATTGAATTATTCATATAAGTTCTTGTGTTAATAAAATGATGTGGCTGAGAAAAAGAACAAACATCTTCTCGAGGTGAACAACCGTTCAGTTCTATTCACTATCAATGTACCCAAACACTTATGAGGGGATGCAATTCTCACATCTACTTATCTCATAAATAGAATGCCCGACATAGTGCTAAACTTTAACAAACCTCTCAACACCCTCATAAAATCATACCCCCGCATTCAGTCCTTCACTTCTCACCCACCTCTAAAAATTTTTGGTTGCATTGATTTTGTTCATCTACATCACATCAATCAAATCAAGACCAAACTTAGAAGTTTAAATGCTACTCTCCAGAAGCATAAAAACTTTACAATTTCATGGATGTCATCTTCTTTGAAAATTAATCATATTACCCAAATCTAATATTCAGGAGGAGAGTTAGAGAGAACATCAGATTTGGGGTACAATTCAAAAACCTCAAGCTCACCTCCCTTTTATCCTTTATGAACCCACTCTTGTCTCGACTATCACAAATCAATCTCAACGGGAACTTACTATTCCATTAAATTCTTCCACAACTCTCACCAAGAATCAAGAACTTCGGAAAAAAAAAAGCTTAGTGAGCAGGTAAAGGATAATATGCAAAATCAGAAATGCAAATCGCTAGAACCAACTTCACACACCCCAAGTATTCATACATATATTGGGTCAACAAATCATGAGAACCAAGAGGAAGAAGAATCATAATAATGCACAAAACACCCGATAGAAGAAATTGTGACATATGAAAAATTATCTTCCTCTTACAAATTTTTTGTTCAGAACCTGAATAATGTGCAGGTCCCAAATTCAATCCAAATGGCTTTATTTATTCCTGCTTGGAAAAAAGTTGTGGAATGAGAGATTCTTGCCATTGAAAATAATAGTATATGGATCATAATCACTCTGTCAGATGCGAAAAGAAACGTAGGGTGCAAATGGATATTCAATTTTAAATACAAAGCAAATAGGAGCTTAAAAATGTTCAAGGCTAGACTTGTAACAAAAGGGTTCACTCAGTCTTGTGAGATCAACTACAAGGAGACATTTGCATTGTGGTGAAACTTAACTCAATACGAGTATTTTATCATTCGTTGTTGACTTGGGCTGGCCTTTACATCAGTTAGACATAAAACATATATTTCTTAATGGAGATCTTGAGAAAGAAGTGTATATGGAGATTTCTTTAGTATTAAAGAACAACACAAATAATCAGCTAGTGTACAAAGTAAAGAAATCATTGTATGAGTTAAAACAATTACTCTGAGCATGGTTTGAAAGGTTCACCAAGTCTATTTTTGCAAATGAGTACTATCAGTGTCAAACTTATCACACTTTACTAATGAAATCAAATAAAAAAGGTATGGTGACCATCCTTATTATATATATAGATGATATTATCTTATTGGGAACTTGAAACAATACAAAAATTATAACTTCTGAGTTTGAGATCAAAGATCTTGGAACTTTAAGATACTTCATGAGAATGAAATTAACTAGATCCAAAGAAGGCATTGTCATATCCTAGAGAAAATATATCCTTGAATCATTAAAGGAGAGATATGAATGTCTGGGTGCAAAACAATAGATACTCTTATGGATCCCAATTGATGACCATCAAAATAAGAAGATAACACCCCAGTTGAAAAAAAGGAGTTATCAAAGGCTTGTGCGGAAACTTATTTATTTGTTACATACAAGACATGACATTGCTTTTCCTGTGGGTTTAGCGAGCCAATATATGAGCGATCCAAATAAAGATAATTTAGGAGCAGTCTTTCTAATCTTGAGGTACCTAAAGATAACTCTAGGATGTAGGTGGATATACAAGAAAACTGAAAACCTTAGCATTGAGATCTACACTGATGTTAGCTTGGCAAGAGAACTGACTAACAGAAGATCTATCATGGGTTGTTGTTCGTTTGTATGAGGTAACTTAGTTACTTGGAGAAATAAAAAGCAAGTTGGGGTGGCAAGAAGTATGCATAAGTTGAGTATTATGCTATGGACCTAGGAATTTGTCAAGGGATGCGTCTAAAAAGGTTACTGGTGGAATTACACATGGAAAACAAAAGTTCTATTAAAATGTTCGTTGATAGTCAATCGATCATCAATATTTCAAAAAGTCCAGTATATCATGATTGAATCAGATATATAGAGATTGACATACACGTTATCTCCGAGAAGGTCAGTTGAGGTGTTGTCCAGCTAAACTATATCCCAAATTCAATATCAGATTGTTGACATTCTTACCAATGCTCTTTCTTGAAATCATTTAGTGATCTCAGCTGTAAGTTTGGGATGTATGACATATACAACCCAATTTGATGGGAAGTTTGGGGAAGTGTTAATATGCATGTAACCGTGGACCACATTGGTCTACGGTTTAGGAAATTGAGTGCCTGCTACTACATGTGAGGGGGAGAAATTATTGTCCCTTAATTATCAATTATTGCATTTTTATTTATTTACTTCTTATCATGGTGATTTGAATTTCTCTCCAATTATATGAGGGTTAGTTTGAGCTTTATATATATTTGTTATCCGCTGTATTAGTTTAATAAGAAAAATAGTTTTTTTTCCTCGAAGTTCCTCGTAAATTCCACCAAGTTTAACACTATTTTCTAGGCGGAAAAGTGACTTATCATGAGGTTTTTTGGTTTTCTATTGCTAAGTCATTTTGGCTTTTTATTTGATGTCATTTAGTCAACCAAGTATAAATGATTCTCTCTCAGTTATAATCATCATTAGATTTGTCCCCTACTATGTAGTGTTCAACTGTATGAATCATCCTTTCATTTTTATTGAATGTTTGATGAGTTATTACTTTTTTTTAATTCATTTATTCAACTTGCAGCAGCTTTACTTTTAATACCACTGTTTCCCTTTAATGATATATGGTTTAAAACATAGTTAGCTTTAAATATTGTTTTGATTCTAGTTCACAATAACAAATAGCAACAAATTTTGTAAATTAAAATTTACCATTAAAAAGACTAATATCTAACAATACGTTTTTGAATGTTATGCTAAAGTTGTCGAGAAAAAATTAGCCTGCACGAGTACGCAGTGCCTTGACCGTTTTCATGCAATCAAGCAACTTTAGATTTCCTCAAATCCACTTGACGCACATTGGCTGAAAGTTTTTTGTTATTTGCTTTAGCTACTGTGCTTGTGGACCAAGCAAAATTACTGACCTTCACATAGTTCTTATTAATCTTATTTTTTTTCTTTTAATTTAAGGCTGTTCGTGCTGGCTTAAATATTGAGGTTGCTTCCGATCTTGTTGCTAATCAATTAAACGTTAGGAAAGGAGCCTTGGTGCTGCAGGTATATTAGTAGTTTTCACTACAAGTCTATTAAAGGCTCTTGTAATTGCTTTCCATGTTTTATTATCAGGGAAAATTTACATACGTGGCACACAGTTCATATGAATTTACATATTTTACCCTAAACTTAATATTTACGTACATGACACTTGGGTGTTTTAAATCTATGAATGAAATTATGCATCACTTTTAAAGGGGGTGACGGATAATTTTGATGTGATATTAAAGATTTTAATGTTATCAGTGTAATTATGAAAATGTAGGTTTTAGATTAGTAAATACATATGAATTTTGTATTATGTATTTAAATGCTCTTCATTATTTTTATTTTTATTTTTATCACTGTTGATGGTGGAAAATACCGTTGCAAAGTAAGGTTCCTTTCTTTTTTAATTGTCATTCAGGTTACTGCTAATAGTCTTGCAGCAAAGGCAGGTCTGCTTCCTACAAGAAGAGGTTTTACAGGCAATATATTACTGGGTGATATCATTCTTGCTGTTGATGAGAAGCCTGTGAGTTTTTAGCGAAATTATTTGGTGCAAAATATGTAATAGTTCTAAAGAGAAAAGTGTTAAAATGGTCCCGCCTTTTTTTCAGGGTCATTTTATTCTCAGAATATAAAAATATCAATTTAGTCCCTATACTAGCGAATTATCTCCGCCCACATTGAAGAGATTTAGGAACAAATTTGACACTTAAAATCCATGTAAATAGTCTGTTTTGACACTTTAATTCTAAATGTGAACTGTGGGAGTACAC